GGAGAATTTCGAGGTCCACAACTCATAGAGAGGCCCACAGACTAGGATTTAGCACTTGCAAGGTAAGTTTTCTTATAAAAAAAGTGAAGTAAAAACCCTAAAGTTGCACAACTTGTTTATAGGCCAAAGAAAAACCACTATTAACTCCACTTCAAAAGAAAAATCTGCTTAGATGGGCTAAAGAACATAGAAAATGGACACCTCAACATTGGTGTGCAATACAATGGAGTGATGAGGCCCGATTCGAAGTTTGTCTTGGTGACAATCGCAGTAGAGTTGTTCGCAAAAAAATGAAGCATTCCATATTGACTGTCTGAAAAGAAAAGTTAAAATTTCCAGCATCCATTATGGTCTGGGGCAGTATGTCATCAAAAGGAGTAGGAAAACTTCATTTTATTGATGGAAATGTGGATACAAACAAATATTTGGCAATTTTAGAAGAATCACTTTTACCAGTGATGGAAGAATGTTTGACATCCGGCCAAGATTTTGTTTCAGCAAGATGGTGCAGCGTGTCATACCTCAAAAAAGGCTATAAAATGGATGGAAGAAAATAATGTACCACTTTTGAAATGGGTTTCTAGCAGTCCAGATCTGTCACCTATTGAAACTTTGTGGCAAGAGATGAAAAAGGTTCTACGACAACATCCTGCTCGTACAATCACCGAACTGAGACAAAAGCTTCAAGAAATATGGGATTGTTTTACACCAAATTTTTGCTAAAACTTGGTTAACACTATGCCCCAAAGAATTTCAGCCGTAATAAAAAATAAAGGTGATGTTACCCAATGGTCATCTTTCAATTGTTGTTTTGTTAACTTCGCGCATTTATTTGTTCAGATGTTCTATTAGTTATGGGTCTAAGTGATTTCAAATATGTATTTTTTACAACTAAAGTGTATCTAAAATGTTTTTGAGAACATAAATTGTTTTAGAAATAAATAGTTTCGTCATGTTTAGTTTATAAAGGCATATTTTGGTACAAATCTTGAAGTGGGCCAACTGAAGTGGGAAGGGGCTCGTATAACACGGCATAATCAGAATTGCAATATGACGTTTCATCTCTTGACCACAAGCATCAACTTTTTTTTCTTATGAACGCAATATTGGATTTTTGTGCAGATGAACAGAGTTTTTAATTCTGATTCCAAACATGTATAATATGTAATACATTGATATTGCCAAGCCTTACTTATTCCAGAAAAATATACGTTCCTAGGTAAGCTTTAAAATTATCAGATTTCATTTGCGTCGTATACCAGACCAGACCTCAAATTGAACACAGCTATACCATATGGAAGACTGAGAAGAAGGGTATCGAGCAGTGAACAATGTACAGAGAAGAATCCGGCTTTGCCTACAAAATAACGGACATTTTGAACATCTACAATGATTTACCTCTGCTTATTTACGATTATTATTGTTATGACCATCAATGAAATTTTCATTTTGTGTTCAGGTTTCACTATACCTTTGTATTTCCTTATAATTTTCATCGAACAACAAATTCATGGCCAACTAAGGAAATAAATGTCTGAAAAGCCCATTCAAATGTACCAAATTCCAATATAGTGTGACAAATAGTTCTGTTGGCGCCATTTGTTGGGAGAGTCTCCTACTCGCCAGAGTTTAATGGCCGATCTCTTCTTTTACGCGAACGACGACCGCACAAGCCGCTTGGCGGCGTCTGTGAGGACCGTGACAGTAGATCGCCTTCTAGATCGAGGCGAAGTGACCTCCAATATTCTAGATGTCGCTTTGTGGTTCACCCGGCTTTTCTCGAAGCAGCAATTGGGATTATATATAACTCGGCGGCCGGGAGATGGAGGCAAAGAGTACATATACTAAGTGACATATAAATCCGAACACCCAGTTTAAATGGTTTTATTTTAATAGTATAAGTACTTAATGAAGCATAATAAGTAAATGATAAAAATTTCAAAATGATTGTACTGCTTTAAAGCCCTTTGATCTTTAATAATGTGTGGATGCACCCTGATGTGCTACGCATTCTCCAGCGCGCCTAGGCATGCTTCTGATCAGGTGGTCAAGTTCCTCCTGTGGTATCTCATTCCAGGCAACCACCAACTCCTCTCGAAGTGCTTCTAGAGTCTGAGGAGGGCGTTGCAAATTGAGCAATCTCCTACCCATCATATCCCACACGTGCTCAATTGGGGATAAGTCGGGAGATCTTGGTGGCCATGGTAACAATGTGACATCATTATGTTGAAAGAAGTCTATTGTGACTCTTGCAACATGTGGTCGGGCATTATCTTGTTGGAAAGTTGGATCTGCCAGGGTGTCAAGATAGGGTAAAAGATGGGGTTCTAGAACTTCGTGGATATAACGCTGCGCGTTCATGTTACCTCTGATGAAGATTAAAGTTTACCTGGAACCATAAGCTATAGCACCCCAAACCATAACTCCAACAGTGTGATGAACATGTCTTTCAACAAAAAAACTGTGGATTCCTCCTTTCACCACGTCGCCTTCTAACCCTGGCATGACCATCGTGCATGCCTAAACAAAATCGAGACTCGTCACTAAAGACTGTTCCATTCCTGATCCCAGAGTGACCGTTGTCTGCACCACTCAAGGCGATTACGTCGGTGTTCTCGAGTTAAAGGGAGGACCCAGTGTGGCCGGTATGAAAACAAGCCAAAACTTCTCATTCGTCGGTAAACACTTCGCATGCGAATAGGTCTTCCGTGTTCTGCAAACCATCCATTTGCAATGGACCTGGTAGTGGAGAAACGGTCCCTTAAGGCCAATAATCTTAGGCGGCGATCTTCACGGTCTGTTGTTCTACGGCGGCGTCCAGTGCCCCTTGCTCTTTGCGTACGGCCTTCTCGAAGCCATGCCTGACAACACCTAACCACAGTGTCTACACTTCTTTGCACTCTACCTGCAATTGCCCGAAAAGAAAGTCCAGCTTCCCGAAGTCCCACTATACGGCCCCTATCAAACTCACTAAGTTGACGAAATCGTACAGGTCTCCGTACTCTAGGCATCGTAACCGATCGTAAAGGATGTCAAGAACCAAAATCCGCCAACATTGATTCTTTACTGCGGCTGAAATATTCATTTTTAGAGCGTTAGTGAATTAAAAAAAGCAGTATAAAAACCGGAATGTCCAACTGATAAGGCTGAAAATTTTTTCACTTGTTATTTACAGTAAGATAAATACATTCACCAACTTTTATTAAAATAAAACCATTTAAACTGGGTGTTCGGGTTTATATGTCACTTAGTATATTACACCAGAGCAGAGCGGAGTGGAGTAAAGTGCAGTCAATGGCGACATAAGAATTAGTCAGACATAAATAGTGGTGTATATAAATGTTCTATCAAGTTAAATAAATTACTGCATTTCTTTTTGTAGAATCCAATGTTTTAATCCACACCCAAAAGAACCCAGAAAAACGCTACAATAGCGTCAATATGAAAAAACAGAGTTGGTGATGGAAGTCGAAAAAAGAAATGTCTAATTGGAAATTTGACTACGCTATCTTGTAAAGGAATAAGTAACAATGACGACATGCAATCTATTTTGAAATCCCATCTCAAATGAAGTCAGAAAAAAATAAAAGTAATTGTGGGATAGATCTGGTATGCCAAACAAATGACTGATGATAATTTCATAATTTTTTTTTAAATAACTAAGATTTGGCAATGTCAAGGTATGACCTATTATACATTTTTCGAATCAGAATTAAAAATTCTTTCATTTGTCAACAATCCTATATGGCGTCCATAAGAAAAAATAAAGTTGACGCCGGAGGACAAGAGATCAAACGTCATATTGATTTTCTAATTATGCCATCTTGTAGAGGAGAAAAAGTGGCTCTGTTAATGTGCAATTTATTTTGACATCCCACTACAAATAAAGTCTTAAAAAATAAAACGATTTTGGGAAAATTAGTTTTTTTTCCGACTCTCTCCGCAAGTTCTTTGGACTTCGAAACTTTCTAAGCGGCATTTTGTTGATTACCGCATTTAAGCGACTCCGTATCTCTTACAGTTTCCGAGATCCCACTGCTGAGCGCCGAATTTGAAACACCCACAACTGCATTCTGGGTTTAGCAACTTATAATAGCTATAGTTAGGGCGTAGGTCGTACTACATTAGTAATTAAGAAAACAACAGAAATTTTAGAGACACAAAACATCACTTTCTAACAAAAAAAACACAAGTGATGAGACACAGTAAACGCCAACTTACAATATAATGATAATGGGAGTTACGCCAAAACTACGCCGAATATATGGATACACTCACACTTTAGTTCTAAAATCCCAGCGTATACCATAACACCTACCAGACAGCTAACTCCTACAAAGGCTTCATATGATCAGTCTATTATTATATAGGGAAATGTATCTTTTGTCGTACCTAAATAGACGAATTGATTCTACTTAATTTAGGCAGCTCAAGCCAATCAGAAGCCAGAACAGAATTTAGTCTAAGCCAATCAGAAGCGAACTAATTTCTACTCAAGTCCAACACTGACACAGAAATGTGGAAATATGAGAACTATATATTATAAATCTTCACATGGAGAGATAGTGATACAGAGCACTGAAACATTAAAATTTCAAGCAACGTTTGAGTTTGAAAATATAACATTATATAACAATGGCAAATAGAGATTTTTATAACTACATCTTATTTTAGGAGTTTCACTTAAAAACTGTTGCTTGTTTTCTCTATGCTGCTTTAACATCTCTCCATGTGAAGTTATAATATTCCCATATAGACATATCTTAATGCTGAAGAAAAGACTATTCAAAGTGTACCACAGAACATTGAACAACATGCAGGAAAAACCGAGCAATAGTATTACCTGGAAACCGTGCTGAAATAAATAGAAATAGAAGGGATTTATTCATAAGTATTCATGTACATTTTGATGGGTTGTGATAGACAGAAAATATTAGCGTGAGGCTATAATATAATCATTTTATTTAAAATGTGATACAAAGATTGAACGGAAATCTTACCTTGGGGTCGTACTTTTTATATTGGTCTAGTCCCAGTCCTACAACATAAATAGATTATAACAAGAGTACTAATACTAATGATCAAATGTGAATTTTAAAAATAGGCATTAATATAATGTAAGAGTTCGTCTTGCTACAACCCTTGCCATTTACACAGAATTATAGAAAAAAACATTTTGGTAAATTGTATCTCGACGCAAACATACTTATGCTCGCAGACGTTATTTGACAAGCAGCTACTTACACGGTGCGGGTTCACGAGAGAAGTAGTGGTTTCCAATATTGATAGCTATTCTTCCGTCATAAGCCAGAACGCATAAGTGCGAAAAATGCAAAAATGAGATACCGTCATTATGATATGAAAGACGCGTAGAAGAAACATATTTCGATGATAAAATATATGTCATGGATATACGGGAAATATTTAGAATTCTTACGATCATCTTGAATTAGAATACAGTATCTGCACAACAATAAATTAAAACATATAGTCGAAATCACGAAAGATGACGATTACGTCATAATTTTAGTCTGTAGTAAAGACAAACGACAGCGATTTGTGAATATTTTTATTGAAGTTCCACATATGTTAGACAGCGACAAACAGAATTTTATTGTCTAATCAAACTGTATTGCTAACTTGCATGTATCCGACAAAGATAGACGATGTTTTCATGTTGCATGATCGATCATATTTGAATAGTTAGGTTATGTTAAAGCAGGTAAGGTTGTTTTCGAATAATACTTTGGTCTTTGGTGTTCCTGTCTCAAGGTATTCTACTCATAACTGTTTTTTTCAAAAAGAAAAAACTCCCCACTAAAATTATTATTAAGGTATCACTCAAAAGCATGAAATAAAATGAAAATAAAAATGATCAGTGAAATAACCTAACTTCGCAAAATCATAATATAAATTTGTTGTCATTATGTTCCTGGCATTGTGATTTTATCATCGACGTACGTCCATTGATTACTTCCGTGATTTTGACTATAGTAAATGACCCGTACTTACTGTATTCTTGCTTAGAAACCATACAGATACTGTCTGAGTTTATACTCAAATCAATGGCGCTAGCAGATACTATAAGACATACACTTAATCACACTGAATTCATAATATTTTTAATTACTTTTCGTCCATCGTTTGGTATTTTTGTAAGGAGATTGTAAAAAACTTTTATAGTTTTCATACACTAAAAATTATATATGCCGAACGTGCGATAAAATACATTGTATATGCTTTTTATTTATAGATAGGCCTTTTCGGTAAAATTAATGAATTCGTTAGAAAATATTATCAATTTTAACCGGGTACAAACTAAAGGTATTTTTCTTCCTTGAAACGTTACAGTTTGAGAAAGATTGCAACACGTTTCCATCGCTCATCTAAAATGTTAAATTAGCCGATACTATCTTCTGGCTTATGACGGCAGTATTCGTGAAAGCCAATAGTTTTTGTGCCCAGTGAATCTACAGGATGTCCCAATATTCCGTGCCACGGATTTTTACACTCAAAATAAGTCGATTGGACATGATTTATATCTATGAAAGAGTGCATCGTTTGTCCGTTAGAGTGCATCGAAAGTTTTCGTTTTCAAATATATTTTTACAGATATTTTTGGAACCTATAGGCCGACTTGAATGAAATTTGAAACATATGTGTTTCGCTAGGCGCCCTAGTATTTGACTTTTACAGAACACCGGAAGGGTTTGAGAAGGGTTAAAACAACCCCACCCCAACATAAATTATAGCAGAATTTTTTCGCAACTTTCCCAACGACTCTATTTTTTTTATTGAGTTAATCTACAGTTGCATCCCAAGTGCCTTATTAATTTTTTAAGTTCAGTTAGCGAAAATAAACAAGTATGATATTACTTATGATAATAGGGCGAATCTTTAATAAAAGGTGTTCAATATGACCATCAATTTCGTACCCAGCAAAAAATTATAGTTAACTTACTCTAAGATGTCATTATTCTTTAATGTGACTCCCTGTCCCATAGCTGATTGTCCTTGTTTATCTGAACCTCGTACACCTTTGTTTCTTATGATCCCCATATAAAAAATCGCAAGGATTAAGATCCGGGAGAACGAGGCGGCCGTTGAGTAGGAAGTTTTCGATCTCTATTAATCCATCTACCATCCAATTCGTTCGTTAAAGTAATTTGTCAAAGCACGCGCAAAGTTCTCTTCTTACATTCAGAGGCAGCACTTCTAATAATTCAGGTTAAGCGTATTGTAGAAAATAGAGATAGCTACGAGGGTTGTTTCAAAAATAAGGTTCCCACATTTGTTTCAGGCACAAAGAATATTTTATATGAAAAAACGAATTCACCACTGGAAACGTTGATCTTTAAGCTATTTTTCTCCATAGTCCCCATTTTTCTTACGGAATTTTTTAGGCGTGAAATCTACTTTGCACTCCCGCCGCCAGCCCGTTTAGAAACTTGCTAACTGCTCCCCTTGTAACTTCTTGTCCGACTCAAATCGTTGACCTCCTAGGCGCTCCTTCAATTTCGTAAACGCTATGTCAAGGCTGTAAGGGGGATGAGCAATGATTTTCCAGCAAAATCGCTCGACTAAGTCCTTCGTTTGATATGAGACATGAGGATGCGCATTGCTGTCGTGCAGACAGTTTTTTTAGAAGCCTCAGGAATTTCAAACATCTGTTCCCGGATCGTAATACGCCGATCTTCGAGCAAGATTTGCTGAATCTTCGCCACTCCCTTCACTATTTGAGGACATATTGAATGCTTATACACGTCTCCCAATATACTTCACTAAGGGCCAATTTCACCAACACCAGTCCGTTATTCTCCACCTATAGGGTAACAGTGCGTCAAATACAACGAATGAGCTTCAAGTTCCAAATTTTAGCAACCAATAGCTATGAAATGTTGAAAACAAAATACTGTCAAAGTATGAGATGACAGCTTGTCATTGAAACATCACCAGCTTATTGAATATTAAGAAATTACATATAATTCAGTCAAAATTTAAAGAAATGTTGGCTTTTTGAATAAAATTCATGTTTTAATTACAATTGTTGATTTTTTATTCATGTTTATATTATTTTCTTCAATTGATATGCGATGCTGGGTGTTTTTTTTTCTATAAACCTCTTGCAGATAGCCATTAAGCACCTACTTGATGACAGGCTCTACCAAAAGATATTGCTCGTTTCCAAACATTCATTCATTTACTTGCCGTTCATCAGAACCATTATGGCACCTTAGATTGATATTCCCACAAAACCATTCAGGTTTTTTGATATCCATACATCAATAAAGTTGAACAGTTTCCGTTGTTCAAGAACTGAACAAACATCCACACTATATTCACAGCGATTAAGAAATTCCCAAATATATGCCTCAAAGCTACCAGCAAACCTAAAACCTGCAAAAAAAACTACAAATTTGCCATATTTTTCTTATTTCACGAGTACACATTCTAGGTTATATTTATATTAGACATTATATGAATACAGCTGATTATTGCATTTCAAGGAGTGACACATGTGTGGGATCTGTCAACTCTTGGTACCAGTCACAAAACATATACTCTGAAGGTTTAATTCCATGCTATTCAATGACAACACGGTGACTTGTGCGGTCATTTTGTTAGGGTGCGACAGGGTTGCCAGATTGTGCATTAATATCCCGTTTCACCCTCCTGGTCCCAGTGGAGTAAGTTCCGCCAACTGTTGAAATATACTCTACTATGCTTTATAAGACTATCCGTGACATTTTTCCAAAAATCATTGCACAACACTGGAAAAAATGCAAATGAAGATTTAAAATTATTTCCATGACGCCACAAAGTAGCTCCGTCGGTACCTCGGGTTATACATTTTGACAGTAGGGATGTTCGATACGATCCTATATTTAGAAGTATCAATACATTTTTACAGAATGAGTGACTGCCTTTTGGCTGCGACATTACCCTGCCAAATCAGACATATCTTTCATCATTTTCAAAGAAATTGTACAAAATCTGCAAACTTGTGAAGTTAACGAGTTTCACTTCATACGTTGTTACCAGACATGCCCAAATCATCAGTCGCTGCCGTGATATTCATCCCGACCACTGCATCCCCACGGCTAGGCGACCTGTATGTTAAATTTGTATTGATAGGGCAGCGGGTTATGCTATAAATCATATGTCACAGTTTTTGTGCACTGATTGCAACGGTTAGATGATACCAAAAATATTTTCATAAATAGGAGATCTCTCCCATTCCGGATCGAACAATCCACCAAAGATGCTTTAATTCATGATACCTAGTAAATTTACATGAAAAATCCTCTGTATGTAGGTATATCAAAGATTTCTTATATTTGTTCATCAATTTGATGATACAACACATCTGCTAAAAATGATCATAATCAGGATAGTAAACTATGACAAAGGTCCACTGTGTGAAAAGAATTTTCAGATACTTCATTTGCAATTTGACAACAGACCATGACGGTGTTCACATTTTTCAAATATTCTTCAAGAAGTGTTATCAGTCTAGCTCCAACTATCATAAGCACTATGTTTGTATTCCTACTTTAAATTCAAAAGCAGCAAATGTAAAAGATTCATGTCGCACCCTTCACCACAAGACGTGATCGTCGTTAGACGTGGCAACCCTGCGAGTGACAGATAAATAACCCCACCAGTGAATAAACATTCTTACACATATTATCTGTGTTTTAGGATGGAGAGGACAATGTTTTTATTGCTTTGAAGACATGCATTAACCCGTAAATTAATAAATGATTACTATTAAGATGTAAAGGAAGATGAGGAATTGGATGGAATGTATTTTATATTCTATTTTCTCTCAAAATACAGACAAATCCACACTATTCAACAGGTATGTAATGATAACAGTATATTGAACTTAAATTCGAGATTGCCATGCATTAACAAACGTCCAAATCTGCTGCCAAATTTAACAGCTAGAAAATCGACCTATTATTTGCCGGATTCCCATTGGCTTTTGGGGATTTTTAAATGTAAATTTATAACACAAATCAAAATACATGAAAG